GAATTAGAGGATTACCCGGGAAGGAATTCGAGGAACCGATCGCCTCACACCTGAACACATCGCTAAGCAGGGCAACCTGAACTGAATCCCTCAAACTGCCAAGAAAACCGAGCAATAGGGGTGGAGAGAGGCGGGGGGAACCTTTCTGAATGAATGAATGAATGAATGAATGAATGAATGTAGCAAGTTATCAGTTTCTTCAAAAAGAGCAGTAAAGGGTGAGGAGCGGGAAAAGGAAGAACAAAAAAATTCTCCCCTCTCCTCACCTTCCGCGCCTCCTTTTCCCCTCGAAATTAGTGCCTACTTGATTATTTGCAGCTGTTTCGAACCACAAGATTTGTTCACAGTAGCAAGCGAGACTCGCGCTTCGGAAAATGAAAAGCCATTTTCGCGCCAGGACTTTGCTGGTTGAGGTTGGGGAGAAGGTTTTGCTGTCTCTCCCAGCAAACTTCCCTCCAGAGCCTTGCTAACTTCACCAAGCGCAGCAAGCCTTTACACCTCCGCCACTTCAGCTCCTGGTACCCAGCCTGGGGGGCGGGGAGGGGGGAGCAGGTGTGTTTCCATCGCTGGGGAGTGGTCTGACAACCCCAAAGCTGATTTCCTGACCTGGCGAGAACGGAGAGATCCTGGGGGTTCGCTGGTGTATGTCGCCCTGCCCCCTGCCTTTCTCCTCGGCCTCAGATGTCGTTCCACCTGCCCAAGAGCCGAGCTGTAAACCTGGAATCCACTCGCCCTGCGGTCCCCAGCGGGTTCCGCCACCCGGTGGCCACCCTAGACACCGGGTGGGTGAGAGGGAAAGCCGGCTAGCAGTGTCAGGACACTGGATCCTCTTAAAAATATTAAAGGAGATGAGGAGCAGCTATTTATCAAGGAGAAAGTTCGGGGGTATTGAGGATCGCGGCTGGGAGGAGCCCCCGAAATGCCAGGGGGGAGAAATGCTACCCGTTTGGGCCACACCTTTACTCCCTGAGTCTGCCTGGAGAGACCGCGTGTGGGGGAACGTGCCGGCGTCCCCGCGCCGCGCCTGCGATCAACTCCGGTGGCCAGATAGCCACTGCCGCTTGCGGCGTCGAGCCCGTGGCTCCCAAGCCCTCGGCCCGGCGGCGGCCGGCACAGTCGTCAGCCGGCGCAGTCCCCGCGAAGGCGGGCCCCCGCGGACTCCCTGCCGCTGGCTGCACCCTCGCGTCTCCCGTCGAGGAGGGAGGGACAGAGGCCTGCGCCGGGGATCTCCCAGGCGGTGGCCGGACCGCCCCCGTGAGGCTTGCTCCCCCTTCTCAGCCTCGCCAAATCCCTGAAAGCCTCGTCCCCCTTCGTCACCCCGGGGGCTTCTAATCACTCTGTATCGATTTCCCTAACTCTTTTCATCCTGTTGAAGACACATCTTAAAACACTCCAGCCCGGAGTGTGCTCTGGGCTTTATCCACACTAATAAAATGATTTACCCTTCTCTCTGCGCTCTCCTCACAGGGAAAATCGTTCGAGCCCCGGTTATTTGTGTGTGATCAGTAAATATTTAGTGCGGTGACATCCTCAGCTAGGCTTCGGATCGATTCGGGGCCCACCGGGAGGTGCGCACGGTCCAGGCGGGGCCGCGCCGAGCACGCCGAGGGGGCTCCTCCCGCCCTCGCTGCCGGTCGCTGATTTACGGCCTCTGCAACCAGCAGAAGAGGGGCTAAAGCGAGCCTGGAAAATTGGCTTTTCAACCTTTTTACTTTTGACATTCAGCCACTTCCCTAGGCCCTCCTTCTCGCCCCCACTCATCCCTCCCCGCCCCCAAGGGTGCCCCGTGCGCCCCGCGAGCCTTTCTGGAGGCAGCGTGCCGCGCTCGCGCCCCTGTGGCCGCGGGACCACCTATCACAGCCCTGCGCCGTCGCCGGGAGGCCCGGCCCCTGCTCTGGGGGTCGTCTCCTTGGGGGAGAGATGCTCTCCGCCCGCCCACACCTCCGAGGGCGGAAAGTGGGTGGAGAAGCTCAGAGCAGCGTTCGCGGGACGGGTAGCCGCTGTCCTCGCTACCCTTTCTCCGACCTGCGGCCCTTCCGCTACTCCAGCGGCCGGTCCTCGACGCCGCTTGGGCGGACGGCGTCGGCTGAGAACTTTACTTTGCTCGCAGAGAAGCTTTCTTTTCCTTAGATGAGAAAACGCGTGTTATCTTGGAGGTGTTGGGAGGGGGCCTCCTGACCCGATCTTGGCTGCCAGAGGGATTTGGCGTGGCAATGTCGGTGTCTCCTGCAACCCCTTTCCCTCCAGGCCTGCCTAGGGCTCACTCTATTTCATTATTGCAGGGCCACACCCTGAATTTGGGACCCCGGCCAGTGGGCCCGACCTGGAGTGTGGCACGGTCTCGCTGCGTCCTACGGGACTCGCCACCTGGGACTGCTGCGTTGCCCCAGTAGGATGTGAGGGATACCACCCCTTGGGTTCCACCGCTCTTAGGCTAAGGGCGCTGGCCTGAAAGTCTCCAACACTGCCGTTCACCTGTCACCTGGGGCCAGGGCCTTTGCAATTCCCCTGGGGCCCCAAAAGGAAGGTGCGTGACCTTGAGGGGCCCACAACACCCCTCCCAAATGCTACCACCCTCTCCTTTGTCCGACACGTGATTTTCTAAACCGCCTTATCTGGAGACTATACCTTTATACTAATGCATACTTAATTGGTCCGTCTTGACTGTCCATATAAAACAATTTAATTAGGGTGCTTTCTTGCTTTGGAGAGCAAAGAAAAAAATCTGCCCAGTGCTTATTGTATTTAGCACCAATACAGGCAGAAAATGTAGCACAAGTTTTTGGTTGAAAGAGCACCTCTGTGCCCATTGAAGGGCGTTGATCCGAAAAGACAGAAAGGACAAGTAAAATCGATTTGAAGCGACCCTCTCTGTCCCTTTCACACCATTCAGAAACTCCATTCCTTCTAAGACAAAGACTAGCGCCTTGGGAATTCTCAGGGGAAAAGAGGAGTACAGCCCCACGAGCCTAGGGCACTTTTTAAAAATCTTCAATATTCCACTTAAAACCGGGGCTCAGTACTATGCCCTGTGTGTAGGTTTCACAGGCAACTCCTCCGGAGTGCTAGGCAGTACGACTGACACCCATTCCTTTGCCAGCTTGGCCTTCTGGCCAGGCCAGGCGGGCTCAGTACTATGCCCTGTGTGTAGGTTTCACAGGCAACTCCTCCGAAGTGCTAGGCAGTACGACTGACACCCATTCCTTTGCCAGCTTGGCCTTCTGGCCAGGCCAGGACAGCCTTTAGGGTTAGTGCAGCCCTCACCTTTGACCCCAGAGATCTGAGTGGCTGCCAGCACTACAACTCTTTGGCCAAAGTTAAACGACAACAAATATTTCTCTACTCCCAAACCTAGTTCTGGTTCGGCAGCCTGAGCCACTTACCACCTCCATCCCCAACTTTATTTCTTTTTCTTTTGCAATTAACTGCCCTAGCCATCTCCGAAGGAGGGAATTTAAGTTGTCAGGGTTATGGTGAGTGGCCTGGTCTAACTGGTCCTCCATTAGGAACTCCCAATGCCAGGTTATCCTACAGGCGCCCAGGCTGGAAGAAGCATCATCGATCAGACCTGCCAGGAAAGGGAGGAGGGGGAGGAGGGGAGAGGAGGGCAGGGGAGAGGAGAGGCCGGGTTGTGATCACCTTCACCTGCGCTGAGCCCGTCCTCCCTGTTCAACTATCCCTGACCTTCTGCTGGGGTTGAAGGGGGAGGGGGTGAAAGGGAGGGGGCACCCCCCCAGTTACACAAGTGGCCTCCTTCTACTAAGAATGAGTTCACCACCTCCCCAGAGGAGCTTCATCATCCATCCACTCGGTATAACTGATGAGACAAACCGCAAGGAAAAACTTCTGTAGCCCATATTTATGGTATTAATGAATAGTTAAAAAAAGATTTACACTTCTTATGATCAATATTCTGAGTTATTTTGCTCAAAGTATATAATTACAGTGTCTTCAGAGTTTTCATCATTGTTTGAGGTGGCAAAACCATTTGTAATTTTCATTAGCCAGTAAACATGTAATTAACAGTCAGCACTGTGTTTAACTTAATTCCTGTTTAAGACAAGGACAAGAAGCAGCCGAAGAGCGTTAGTTCCATTTGTCAAGTCTGACATACATCTTACCATAACAGTTTCCTAAAATAAAAGATCCGTGTTTCCCCCATTATTCTTCTCTTAAAACAAAACAGAACAAAAAATTTCATTAGTTAAAACTGTATTAAACTGCAAGAGGCAGCATAGTTTATTCTCAATTTTTACTAGTTACTGTATTCCTGCTTCCTTCATTCGTTTGGGGGAGTGGATAAAGGGAGGGGGTGCATTAAGCATTCATAATCTGAAGGCATGAAATGGGGAACCCCTCCCCCCAGAAGAAATAGATTTCCTCCTCAGGAAAGTTCTAGAATGGGGACCGGAAGAGGGAGGCACAAATCCACAGGGGGAAGGGAGAAAATGACTTGGGGGAATTTGAGTTAAAAGTAGAAAATGAGGATTCCAACGGATTCCTAGGAAAAATGTTGCCCTCCTGTCTCAAGTTCTATCTTTGATCCAGGACGAGGGGAGCCTGTCTGCCAGTCTGTGAGGCTGCTGCTTTTTCCCCCTCCTCTCCTACCTCTGTTTTTTTTTTTTTTTTTTTTTTTTTTCCC